ACAATAGCTTCTAAATAAGGCAGCTTTGTTTAGAAATAGGGCTTTGTTAGGAAAAAAAAGAAAAAAACGGTGGATGGGGGCTTTCCTTACTGGGAAATATTTTAGGCAATCAGTGGACATTGAGAATACAAAAAAAGAACTGCGGGCCAGAATATTTGAGAAAGAAGATAGTTTTAGGGAGGTCTATTTTAGTAGAAATCTGGTAACTTCCTACTTTGGGAAGAGAACCAGCAAATGGGAAATTCTCTCTCCTTTCCCTCTCCCTCCCTCCCTCCCTTCTTCCCTCCCTCTCCCTCTCCCTCTCCCTCTCCCTCTCCCTCTCCCTGTCTGTAGCTATCTATCTGTCTATCTCTCTCTCTCTCTGCCTTTCAAATTAGTAAGTAATTTGTTTTACTAGAAAATCTTCTCTTTCTTCAATCCATCCTCCACTATGGCTGTGATCCTGATACACTAGACCCATCATTCTCAATGATTCTTCAAAAAAAAAAAAAAAACCAAGAATATTTGTCTCACTGACTGAGATGAGTGGAAATGCTATCTGCCTAGGGATTCCTGTGCCAGACTTTCTCTGCCACCCCAAAGGCTGAGGGAGTCCACGTTTCCAGCACATCTGTAGTCTGTGGCACATGTGTGTCACAGTATGCTGGAGGGGAAGCTGTGCCTTGAGCACATTCGCACTGAGACCACACAGAGAACTGTCATTTTGGTACTAGTACTGATCCACTGTATTTTCTGTGACTTACACTGTTGTCCAATGGCCATATGAACTTCCTGGTTGATAGGGCCACTCCCCAAGGAGTCTCCCAGCCACCCACCACCACTTCCCTCCTGCCATCCATCTACCATTTGCTAGTTTCCTGGGACTTGTCGAAAATTCTGGTAGAACCACAGTGGATACAGGCTTAACTCTCCCTTAGATATAGATCACATGGATTTTACAGTTCAATGACTTACAGTCTAGTAACTTTGGAAGTATCACGCAATATTAACATTTCCCAGGGGACTAGAAAACCTCAAGTAAGCAACATTGTTCTATCATCCCAAAAAATAATCTAAACACTTCAGTATCATGAAAGCTTTTCTGTTTTGTGAAGGTTATGTAATCCTGCCTTTTATAGAGCTGAAAAAGAACATGATGGATGGATAACTGCATTCTTACAGAGATTCTTAGTGGGAGGCATGGCATACATACATGTATGTATGGGAGCCATACATGTAATGTATCCTTTACATTTTATCCTTTGTTTATCTTTAAGATGCTAAGCTTTGTTTCCACTTGCCATGTGTCGCTCTCCCTCTTCGTGGAGGAACAACACAGGATCCTGCGCTGTCCTTTTGTCTGCTCTGCCCTTCCCGGGTTTGCTGCTGGTTCTTCCCGGGTTGGCTACCGTCCCTTCCACCTCCGTGGAAGGGCGGTTCCCCCTGCCACTTTCCCCACTTCCGCGGGGGAGCGGCACACCGCCGGCCGGCTCTCTCGGGGGCTGCTCAGGTGTTCCCCTTAGATGTTCCTGGTGCATGTTGTCTCTCTCCTCCTTTATAGTCCTCTTCCACCAATCCCAACTCTGCTACCCACACGCCGAGTACGCTGCTCTCCTCCAATCAGGAGCAGCTCCTGCAGCTTGTCAAGTTGGTGAGAGGCAGCTGGGTAGAAGCTGTTTGCTCCTCTCCCAGCGCCATATTGTGGGAGAGCAGATGTATAGAATAAGTCTTAATTCCAGTAACAGTATAGTCCGAGTTGCTCCCCACAGCCATGTTTATCTGAGGAATAATTAAGTACAGTAGTTTAATATGCCAAATCTAATCAATATAGTACACAAGATCTTGGCTCTTATGTAGATAATATATGCTAGCAGATTCTCTACTCTAATACCAGAAAGATAGTGGCTTGGTCTGTTGTGTCACTAGGAATCAGTAGTTGTCAGGCGTTGCCCTTGACAAACTAATTTAACTCTTTGTAATTAGGAGAGGGATCTGTTAGATCAGTGTGTACTTCTGTGTTCAGCTACACCTAAACAGGACAGGTGACACATAGAGCAAGCTAAACTCATTTGCCTTCTTGCCCGTAAGTTGGGCCTTTGATCATGAGATACCTTTAAGTGTTGTACTTGTCTCCAGAGGGGTGGTACAGAGACTTAGAAACGAGGAAATCTTATTCTGACTATGCTCCTTAAGATATAAATAGGATGGGGATAGATTAAAATAAGTATATTAGAAATACATAATGTTTTTAGGGCCGGCGCCGTGGCTCAATAGGCTAATCCTCCACCTTGCGGCGCCGGCACACCGGGTTCTAGTCCCGGTCGGGGCGCCGGATTCTGTCCCGGTTGCCCCTCTTCCAGGCCAGCTCTCTGCTATGGCCAGGGAGTGCAGTGGAGGATGGCCCAGGTGCTTGGGCCCTGCACCCCATGGGAGACCAGGAAAAAGCACCTGGATCCTGGCTCCTGCCATCGGATCAGCGCGGTGCGCCGGCTGCAGCGGCGGCCATTGGAGGGTGAACCAATGGCAAAGGAAGACCTTTCTCTCTCTGTCTCTCTCTCTCACTGTCCACTCTGCCTGTCAAAAAAAAAAAAAAAAATACATAATGTTTTTAGGTTTTCTATGGAAGAACAAAACAAATATGACTACAGGAATTCTGAATGTTGGCCCCTTCAAAAAAATGCATACCATATCAGGGAAAGCAGCCACCAGTAGTATGTGAATTTAG